GCTGGGTTATAAAACTGTAGTTATTTGGGTTGATGTTGAAAATTGTGCTCTGGGATTCTCCATCCTCGTAGGTTCCCTGAGTCATGGCTCCAGCCTGAACCCAGATGTCTACACTGCATTTTTATCACCCGCAACCCAAGGCTGGATGATAGGGCCAGGCCTAGGGATTTATTGCAATTGACACATATCCATAGCAAAATGCAGGACAATGTAGCACTTTAAAGACTAACAAGATGGTTTATTAGATGATGCGCTTTCGTGGGCCAGACCCACTTCCTCAGATCAAATAGTGGAAGAAAGTAGTCACAACCATATATACCAAAGGATACAATTAAAAAAAATGAACAAATATGAAAAGGACAAATCACATTGCAGAACAGAAGGAGGAGGCGGGGGGGTGGGAAGGGGGAGGAAGGAAGGTAAGTGTCTGTGAATTGATGATATTAGAGGTAGGGAGAGTGGGATGTTTGTGAGTTAATGGTATTACAGGTGATAATTGGGGAAACTGTCTTGATAATGGGTGAGAAAGTTCAAAGACTTGTTAAGTCCCTGGTGGTAAGTGTCGAATTTTAACATGAATGACAGTTCAGAGGATTCCCTTTCAAGTGCAGATGTAAAAGGTCTTTGTAGCAGAATGCAGGTGGCTAAGTCATTTAGAGAGTGTCCTTTCTGGTTAAAGTGGCAAGAAACTGTTTTCTCTTTGTGATCTTGTCTGATATCTGTTTTGTGGGCATTAATCCTTTGGCGAAGTGTCTGAGATGTTTGTCCAATGTACATAGCAGACGGACACTTTCGGCACATGATAGCATAGATTATATTTCTGGATGCGCAGGAATATGTGTTCTTGATCTTATAACTCACTTGGTTAGGTCCAATAATGGTATCAGCAGAATGAATATGTGGACAAAGCTGGCAACGGGGTTTGTTGCAAGGGAAGGTACCAGGGTTGGTATTAGTGTGGTATGTCCTGTGGTGGTTGGTAAGAATCATCTTGAGGTTAGGTGGTTGTCTATAGGAGACTATGGGTCTGTCTCCCAGAGCCTCTTTGAGTATGGTATCCTGTTCCAATATAGGCTGTAGTTTATTGATAATGTGTTGGACAGGTTTAAGTTGGGGGTTGTAGGTGATGACAAGTGGTGTTCTATTGTTGGTTTTCTTGGGTCTGTCTTGAAGTAGATGGTTTCTAGGCTGAAGAAAGAAAACCCTCATTGGCTGCTCAGAGATCTGGGGAGCAGGGCCTTGTTACCCGAAGGGCTTTCTTTAAAAAGATATCTGTGTCCCTGTATATGTGCAAGCAAAATTTCCTTGGGTTCCAAGCCACTTTGCAATGCAGCTCTTTAGGGAAAAGTTTGGACATTCTCTGTATTGATTGACTGTCTCCATAGACTGACACAAATGACTAAATCACAGCAAATCAGCACTGTGCAGTGATGTGTTTTGTCATAAGAACATAAAAACGGCCATACTGGGTCAGACCAAAGGTCCATCTAGCCCAGTAGCCTGTCTGCCGACAGTGGCCAGCACCAGATGCCCCAGAGAGGGTGGACCGAAGACAATGATCAGCGATTTGTCTCCTGCCATCCTGCTCCAGTCTCTGACAAACAGAGGCCAGGGACACCATTTCTGTCCCCTGGCTAATAGCCTTTTATGGACCTAACCTCCATGAAATTATTTAGCTTCTCTTTAAACTCTGTTATAGTTCTAGCCTTCACAGCCTCCTTTGGCAAGGAGTTCCACAGGTTAACTACACGCTGTGTGAAGAAGAGCTTTCTTTTATTAGTTTTAAACCTGCTACCCATTAATTTCATTTGGTGCCTTCTAGTTCTTCTATTATGGGAACTAATACATAAATTTTCTTTATCTGCCCTCTCCACACCACTCATGATTTTATATACCTCTATCATATCCCCCTTCAGTCTCCTCTTTTCTAAACTGAAAAGTCCCAGTCGCTTTAACCTCTCCTCATATGGGACCTGTTCCAAACCCCTAATCATTTTAGTTGCCCTTTTCTGAATGCTTTCCAAGGTCAAAATATCTTGTCTAATCATCTGGACAACCCTAATCCATCTGGCTGAGGTGGAGGCCTTTATTTATGAATATTTATGGCAAAAATTCTGACTCGTGAGCTGTATGGACCATGTCTCCTAGGAGGTCTTCAATGCAGCTGTGCAAATAGCCATTCCATGGCTGCTCAGTTCTAATTCCCCAGCACTGTTTCATGTCAAATCTTAGCAGCGATAGAAACAAAAGCCGTGAGGACAAGGCATCCTCCCCGTGTTATGGCTTTCTCCAGGGGTGGGAAAACTCTGTGTTGCTCTCTGCACACAGAAAATGTTATAAAACGAAGCACTCGTGAAACCCTTAGCCTGCAAGTCAGCTGCCCTGTGGCTCAGCACAACCTCTCCTGAGAAAACAGTATCAATAGCCTGTCAGGGCAGGATGCCAAGAGGCCTCCATTGAGACGAGAAGGAACAGTCTTAAAATATGCTTTTCCACTAGACTGACTACTCCGCATCTTGTATTCCTGAGGGTCCTGAGCTCTGCCATGGGGGCATCCCGGTCACATGCCCCACTTAAGTATGTGTGGTGGGCAGCCGGTCGCAGGCAGCTCATAAGGGGAAGTTGCTGTCAGGCCCTTAGACACGTTGTTTGCCTTGCGTCTGCAGTATGGGCTCCCGCAGCTCTCGTTGGCCAGGAATGGCAAACCACAGCCAGTGTGAGCTGTTGGCAGATGTATCTGCAGATGCAAGGTAAACAGTCTGTCTCATAGCCTGCCAGCAAGCTTACTCCCAATGGTGAGATTTCTTTCTTTCTTTCTGCATTAGCCTAGCCTTTCGGGCAGAGGTGGGTTTTGGGTTATCAGGGTAAGCCACCGGTGGGCCATCAGACAGGTTGTTTACCTTGCATCCATGGGAACAGCTGCCCATCGCTCCCTATGGCTGTGGTTCACCGTTCCCAGCCAATGGGAGCTCAGGGAGATTGTTCCTGCAGGCACAAGGTAAACAGTTCATCTGCTGGCGTGCTGGCTGCTTAGCCTGATGTAAGGATGTTAAATTGCGGTTCATTGATTAATCGAGTAGTCCATGGAATTTCCATGGACTACTCAACTAGTCGAAAGGCACTTCTGCATTCCTCCTTTGAAATGTACAAGAGCCCCTGCTGGGGCTCTTGTACGTTTCAAAGGGGGAATGTGGAACAGCCCGGGGCCAGTGCAAAGTTCCGCTGACTCCGGGATGCACGTGGATGCCAACTTTGAAATGTACAAGAATTCCCAGTGGGGGGAGGATTCAGGGTCCCCCGCTGACTCCGGGCTCCATGCTGCTGAGCCCAGGATCAGCTGGGGAGTCTGATCCCAGTTCCACACGGCATTTCAGCGGAACCCAGCTCCAGCTGGCCCCGGGCTCCACTGTGCTGCCCCTATGAAACGCCGAGGCGGCATTTTAAAGGGGCAGCGCCTCACAGCTGATCCCGGGCTCCGAGTGGCATTTCCCCAGAACCCAATCCCCAGCTGGCCCCAGGTTCTGGGGAAATACCATGTGGAACCCAAGGTTAGCTGGGGAGACCCCAGCTGACCCCGGGATCCACAGCGCTTCGGCATTTTAAAAGGGCAGCGCCACACAGCTGAGCCACAGATCAACTGTGCGGTGGCTTCCCTTTTGAAACGCTGCCTTGAAGTACCCCTGTGCATCACTGCCACTTTGAAATACCCCTTCTTGCCCCCACTGCCCTTTGCTGCCTCTATCTAAGAGGCAGCAAGGGGAGGGGAAGCGACTAGTCGACTCAACTATCCAACAAGCTTTTGCTTATTGGATAGTTGACCAGTCAACTAGTCCTTAGCATCCTTACCCTGATGAACTGCTTGCAACTTGCAGGCTGTGGGTTGCCCACCACTGACCTTGGAGCTGCAGGCATGTATCATTCTAACTGTGCTAGGCACTGTACAAACACAAAACTAAAAGACGGTCCCTGTCCAAAAGAGCTTATCATTCACTTGAGGTCACCAAATGAAATTAATAGACAGCAGGTTTAAAACGAACAAAACGAAGTTTTTCTTCACTCAGCATATAGTCAACCTGTGGAACTCCTTGCCAGAAGATGTGGTGAAGACTAGGACTTGAACAGGGTTCAAAAAAGAGCTAGATAGCCTTTGATGGACATAACCTCCATGAATCTATTAGCCAGGATGGGTAGGAATGGTGTCCCTAACCTCTGTTTGTCTGGGAATGGGTGACAGGGGAGGGATCCCGTGATGGTTACCTGTTGTGTTCTCTCCCTCTGGGACATCTGGCATTGGCCACTGTCGGCAGACAGGATACTGGGCTAGATAGACCATTACGAATGCCATGCTGGATCAGACTATGTTCTTAATGTTAGACCTGGTCTGCACTTAACAATTAGATTGACCTACCTATGTTACTCAGGAGGTGAAAAATGTTGTGTCCTGAGTTCCATAGCTAGATTGATTTAGCTGGCAGTGTGGCTGCGGCTACGTGGAGAGAAGAATTCTTCTATCCATCTAGCTACTGCCTCTCCTGGCAGTGACATGGTCAAAGTCATGCGCTAGGAAAGTGATCTTTTCAGTGGCATTCTGAGTGGAGCAAGCCTGCATTTGTCACGACCAGACAGAAGGATGTTTCGGTGATCAGGACATGAGATGAAGAAAGCCTAGAGAAAACTTTTAGCTATGAAGATATATAGGAAAGGTTGACTCTCAGAGATGTTATTGGGGGGAAAAACCTGCAAGACTTACACACAACACCTGCATTTGAGGACCTAGAGTGGGGTATGTAACAAACACGCCCTGAGACTGTCACACTGGGTACCTCTGCAACACAAATAATAACATGAAGCCTATCGAGAGTAAATAAATCAGACTAGCAATAAGACCATGCTCCCAATAGTCTAGTATTTTGCAAAGCTCGTTTCCAGTTTGAAGACCAGGAGGGTTCCAGGGGCGAATTTGAAATGTGCATAACAGATGGAGACTATGGGTCTCCATTCTAATTTTCTTTTAATGATCCTGTAAAGGAAAAGTTCACACAGGACACAGTAAACAGAAAGCGCCGTTTCCTCCCCGCTTCAAAGTGGGAGCTAAACAGAGTGTTCCAAATGCCTCTGCATGCAAACCATGCACAGTCTTCCAGCGAGGTCAGTGGAGCAGATGTGTCCCTTTTAAGCTGACCGCTTGTGCAGCGTGAGAACTGTTCCTGTCTAATGGAAAGATCTTCTGGGCAAGCGAAGGAGTCCTCTCAACAGCGTTGGCTGAGTACACCCAATGATACACGGCACCCCATTTCCACGTGCTCTTGGGAACAGGCGTGCTCTCCTGGGATACTAGGGGTAAAGAACATGTTGAGAAGGAAAATTGTAACAATTGTAAGAGCACGTCTAAACTGCGGGGGGGGGGGGGGTTGAAAGAGGATATGCAAATTCTGTAGGAATTTGCATATCTTCTTCCAACCTCACTTTCGAAAGAGGATCTTTCGAAAGTGAAAGTAGTCTGGATGCGTTTTTTTCAGGAAAAAAACCCGCGTAAACCTCCTTTTTTAAGAAAGAGCGCTTTTTTTTTTAAAGGGGTTTTTTTCCGAAAAAAATGCATCCAGACTACTTTCACTTTCGAAAGATCCTCTTTTGAAAGTGAGATTGGAAGAAGAGATGCAAATTCCCGTGGAATTTGCATGTCCTCTTTCGAAAATTCGATGTAGTCTAGACATAGCCTTAAAGGGGAAAGCAACCGAGAGCCCCAGATGCAACCCCTCTGCTCGACATGGTACAAGGAGCTCAGTGCCTGCCTGTGGACCAACCACTGGACTAGCAATCCATAAAATGAAGTCTGAGCTGAAATGTACATGGACTCTCTGGGGTAGGGACTGTTTTAGTTATTGTTCATCTGTACAGTGCGGAGTAAAATGGGACCCTGATTCCCGACTGGGCATTATACGAGCAGTTTTCACTGAGAAGTCAAACACGACTGGAACAGCAGGGCAGTGCACTGTGACCTCTGGCTAGGAGTGGGTACTCAGAGGATGGCTGGCACTAACAAATTATCAGCTTCTGCCTTTTGCAGGGCCGCTTATCTCACAGTAAATTAAAGCTCCCCTCCCGGATTTATATAGTGTTTACGTATGCCCCCTCCCCGCCCCAACACCCAGCCCCAGTTCAGTAACTCTCATTTTAAGTAGGGATTCCCCAGTCCTCCTTCCTAGAGTGATGTCCTGATACAAAGTCTCTCCTTGGAGGGATCTCTGCCTTCTTCAGCACTCTGGTTTCCAAGTCCCCAACCCTTCCGACAGTCGGGTCTCTAGCAACTTGCTGCTCACTTGATCTCAGAGCCTTCCCTGCGGCAGCCTTCCACACTCTCTGCAAGTCTCAGAGGGGTGGCCGTGTTCATCTCTATCTGCAAAACAAGGAGGAGTCCTGCGGCTGTTTACAGACTAACAGATTTATTTGTCCATAAGCATTTGTGGGCAAAAACATCGGACAAAGTGATTTATACCCGCGCAATTTTGTACTCTCTGCCAGCGGGGCTGGCTGCCACCCCGGGTCTCAGGACACAGTGGGTGGGGCCAGTTCCGTGCCTGAGAAAGGGCGGAGCATCAGGTGGAGAGCAGTCTTTCTGCCTGTTACCTCACTCCCATGCTGGGAATTTCCTTCTCACTCCTGCAGGATACGTACTGGAAAGTGATCCCCTCCCCGCCCCCTTACCCTGGTATCTATAACATTTGCTACTTACCTCAGTGGTTTGAGTATTGGCCTGGGAAACACAGGCTTGTGATTCAGTTCTTGAGGGGGCCATTTAGGGATCTGGAGCAAATCTATCAGGGAGGTTACTTGACCCTGCCCTGAGGACTAGACTTGATGACTTCTCAAGGTCCCTTCCAGCTCTGAGTTATATCTCCATATATAAACTCTATGCTGCTCAGGAAAATTTGCAATGTCTCATTTATTCACAAAGTGAGTTTACTTTATTTTTCCAGTACATTTTAACAGTGGGGGCCCCAATAATTAAATGTGTCTCCTGGAATATAAAGGGTTTGAATAGCCCCATTAAAAATACTCAGTGCTTTGAAAATATACTGTTGACATTGCCGTGATCCGGGAGACACATCTGTCGGAACTCGAAGCTTGTATATTGAAGCGTGATTGGGTAGGCCTCTCCGTTTCTAGTTACTTTAATTCAAAAGTGAGGGGTGTTGCTATACTAATGCATAACAAATTGAATATTAGCATTCTAAGCACAAGGGCTAACAGGGAGGGCAGATTTGCTCTGCTCAAGGCTGAAATTGGCAATTCTATAATCATTTTAGCTAATCTCCACAGGCCAAACCAGGATGATCCCAAACATTTTATTTCTTTTTTTTAAAATTAGCATAAATGGCACTGGGCACCATCCTGTTGTTATCACTGAAGATTTTAACAAAATGCTAGACCCAGTCCCTGCTAAATCTTCTCATTCTCCACATTAAAACACAAATACTCATCAGGTACTTTGTACATACATAACAGATTTAGGCTTATAGGATTTATGGAGAATGGGTAATCCTGTAGACAGAAACTAAAGGATTTTTTTCTATAATTCATTTAATGTATTCAAGATTTGAAGTATTTCTGAGTGTCACAAGACTTGATCAATTCTGTAACTAATTGTAGCACTGGTATTACTGTTTTATCTGACCATGTTCCTATGTGATCTATGCCATCAAATGCCAGCAATGCCCCACTGCCATGTATATGGCCAAACTGGACAGAAAAGAATTAATGGACGCAAATCAGATCTCCGAAAAGGCAACACACAGAAACTGGTTGGAGAACACTTTAATCTGCCCGGGCACTCATTAATGGATCTCAAAGTCATTTTATTGTTTCAGGCCAGTTCCACAAGCCAAATACATAGGGAAGGGTTGGAACTTAAGCACAATTAGCACCTTCATTGTTTGTTTGGTTGGTTATGTCATTAGGATGTGGAAGGGAGCGGGTAGTGTGTGAGCCAGCCAATATCTCTGTCCATTCCATTCTGATAACTTCATTTACAAGTTTAATTCTTATCAGCCTCTTATAACTACTTGAACAATCTATTCACTGTCTTTTTTTCCCCCTTCCCCCCCCCCCTTCCCTTATTTATTCTTGGATCTGGACTTTTAACACTCCAGTCATCTGAAGAAGTGGGTTGTGCCCAGGAAAGCTCATGATACCATCTACATGTTTTATTAGTCCTGAAGGTGCTACTAGACTATTTGTTGTTTTTTACGTTTTTCCATGTTTCTATTCATATGTCTTCTGGGGGCCCAGGGTAGGCACCCCAATTAATATGTGAAGATTAAGTATCTCTCTGTTGTTTGGTGCATCATTTGTTAAGTGCTTCCAGGAGGAATCTGATGTTCCTTTTTTCAAACAAATGCCCCCATTGTTTCATCAGCTGCCACTCTTTGGGAAGACTTTAAAACCTTTATCAGAGTGGCTATTTTCTCTTATGCTGCCTTCAAAAAGAATTGGAGAGAACATAGACTGGGTACTGTTGCAAAGGAAATCAAGGCTTTGGATGTAGCCTCCGCTTCTGTCCCCATACCAGAGAAACTCAATCAATCTAATCTGATCCATCTACGATGTGAAATCAAAAGCTTCTGTCCCAAAGGGTTTTATTCTGTTTAAAGCAAAACTATTAGAAATCTGGAGGAAGAACCGGCAAGCTATTGGCACACAGACAAAAGCAAACGGCTAACGGAAATAAGATTGCTGCTGTTCACAAGAATGGCCATAAATTATGTACCGCACAGTCCAATATTAATACACAATTTCTACCGCTGTATTCAAAATATATTTAGCAAAAGAGGGAATCTATGAAGACGCCCTGGATAATGTGTTGTGGATGATTGTCTCTGCCACAGATCTTGACTCTCAGAAGGCACGTTCAGATGGCCCGTTAGAAATCATGAACTGGCTCAGGCTATAGAAGGAATGAATTAGGTTCCCAACTGGATTATACAAAATGTTCTCTGAAGCATAAACCCTGAGTGAATATGGTGGATGAGGCCAAGTTGAGCGAACTCCTCGAAGTAACTGCAACTGCAGCTTCTCTCCTAAACCTGAGGGAGACCTTGGATGATGGGATAAATCCAGGCACACGTGATGCATGGGGAAGCCAAATGCCGCCCTCCCCCCCGGTTTCTGCTTGGCCTTCTGGGAGAAGAGGAAAAGGGGCTCTGCCCTTTTCCCGCTGGGCCTGACACGTGGCCCCTGTCCCTGGCAGCAGGACCCAGCCTGGGAGCAGAAGGGGCGGGACCAGCCTCTTCTCACACTGAATGCTGCAGGTTGCCTCTCTGGGCAGCGAAGCAGAAGCCTATAAGAGCCAGGCGGACGGGGGTGGGGAGAAGTGGTGGCAGCCCACTCCCCTCCCAGGCCTGACTGCCAGGGATCAAGGGAGCCGGATTCCCCCATGGCCTTCGCACATTTCTGGCTCACTCAGGCCCTGATCCCAGCAGCAGGGCCTGGGCGAGGAGCGGGGCTGTCTCCTCCCAGGCCAGCTCACTCCAGCAGCTGCTGCAGTGCACAGAACAGTCTTCAGCTGCATGAGAAGCAGCTGTATCCCTCTCCCCGTCTGGGCCCAGCTGCCAGGGAGAGCAGTCGAGGGGAGGCACAGCAGGATGAGAACAGAGCCCTACTCCCCCCACTGGGAACTCAGCAGGGAGGGGAATGCAGCCATCCTCAGCTGGGCATAGGGCAGCAGAGGAGACATGGGGCATGCATGCACCCCTCCCTTCCATGGTGCCCCCCAAGTATAGAGAGGCACAAGTCTTTTACGATTCTTTAATCAATTATCAGAGGGGTTGCCGTGTTAGTCTGAATCTGCAAAAGCGACGAGGAGTCCTGTGGCACCTTATAGACTAACTGAAGTGTAGGAGCATAAGCTTTCGTGGGCAAAGACCCACTTCGTCAGATGCATGACTATAATGTGGATGTAAATTGAAAATGTAACTGAAAAGGGATAGAAAAATGGAAGCTGTATTTCCTTTGACATTCTAATACATCCAGATTGTATCAGTTTTGCTAGAATTTTCTGGAGGATTGCACACATTCTACTATAGATCTGAGATTTAAAAGCTACAACAAATCACCTCTCTCTCCACCATATCTTTTCTCCATACGAGGAGTAACGAGGAGTAACGAGGAGGAAGCCTAGTTCGAACTACCTAGTTCGTGCCGCATGTAGCCACGCAGCACGGGGTTCGAACGAGCGGGGATTTAAAAATGGCGGCGCCCCGCTTATGCAAATGAAGCCCGGGAAATTCAAATCCCGGGCTTCATTTGCAAGTGCGGTATGCCTACATTACCCTCCTAGTTCGAACTAGAGGGGTAGTGTAGACATACCCTAAGGTGCCACAAGACTCCTCATCGCTTTTAATCAATTGTGTCACTGAAATTTTAGCTAAAGCTTTTTCTGTGCGATTGAGCAACATTTTCTCATGCATTGTATACGTGAATCAGGCAGGGTTCCTGTGTAGCAGACGTGGTCATCCGATTATTTTCATTGACTGATTGTTATTAGGGTCACTTTGAGAGACTCTAAAGAACGCTTCACTGTCATTTCTTTGGATGCCCAAAAGGCCTTTGATCACACAGGGTATGTCTACACTACCCCGCTAGTTCGAACTAGTGGGGTAGTGTAGACATACCCACACTGGTTAGCAACATTTGGATTTGGTCAACAATGGATTGTTTGGCTTGAGCTTTTATGTGCTAACCCAACTTCCATGGTAGATCCCAAAGGCATTATTTCTCCCCCATTTCCATTATACGGACGTAGACGGCCAGGCTGCTCCCGTTCCCCTGTGCTGTTTGATGTTGAACCTTTTAGCCATTGTCACCAAGCAAATCAACGTGTTTTTGGTAGCTGGGTAGGCCAAGCAGAGCATAAAATTGTGCTCTGTGTGGAGGATGCTCTTGTATTAGCATCTATTCCCAAGGTTTCCATTCCTAACCTTCTGACCACTGTTAATAAGTTTGGACTCCTTTCGGGATATAAAATTAATTGGGGGGTAAATCAGAACTCTTGGGCATTAACAAATATGCCCCCAGCGGCCTTTTCTCAAATTGGGACTTTCCATGATAATCCTTCCCTGTGAAATATTTAGGACTGACAAGTCCCAAAATATTCAGGACATCCCGAAGGCAAAATATAGAACCAAGTGGCTATTGATTAACCCTCAGTTTGTGGCATATATAGTGAACATGAAGGTCCTTCCCAGCATTTTGGATGTCGAAGGGGGTCTTGCTATCTCTCTTCCTCACAATTATGTTGAGAAATTCAGCGACACTTTGCTTGGGGCGCAGGTAAGAAAATTAGCAGGGAGCTGAACAAATTACAGCTCCCTCCGGTTTCCCAACTTGGAAAATGATCCTATCACCTTTCTGTTCAGCCAAGCATCCCTGTGGCTGTTAGATGCAACCCCACAGACCCCACCTTGGGGTTCCGATTGACTGAGAACTGGCGTACCCTCTCCCGCCGTCAGGTATTGAGGGTCAATTTGTTATAGATGTGACCGCTCCAGAATGCGCTCAATCGCGGCTTGGAGCAAGCTTGGCCAGGACTAGCTAGAATATTCTGCTCCCATCCACTTTTATGCGTGGAGGTGGCCCTATGGAGCAATCTTGTCCTTAAACTCACTAGCAAAACTGTGATGGGGAGGGATTGGATGGACAGTGGCATTATGACTGTGCCATGGCTAATTAATAATGAGACATTCAAACCATTCATAGATCTTCAGCAACAGATTGGCTTGCCCCAAGGTCGCCAGGTGAACGCCCTATGCCCTAGGCCACTCCGGAACTGATCCCATCTACCTACCTTCCGGTCATCCTTTATCCTGCCTTCCGAATGCTAGAACATTCTGGAACTCTCCCCCGTGAAAGCTCTGGCTCATGAATGTGTTAGGACTGGGAGCTCCAGAATCTCTAGAACTTTTATTTTGAAGGAAATGCCCTGGGTTTACTTGGCCAGAAGCTTTTTATTATTATTATTATTATTATTATTATTATTATTATTATTTTCTGGCCCCAAACACTGCCAGAGCCTGATCATTGGAGAGTTGCTTGGAGTAGAGATTTGCATACAGAGCAATGGACCCAATGGAATACAATTACGTCTGGTGTTTAGAAAGCAACTGTAAACCTGAGACAATGGCTTATTCACCAGAAAGACATTTTTCTGAATATACCAGTCCCCATATAGATTAATGGTCATGGGCTTCCGAAATGCTGACTGCTGTTGGAAATGTAACTCCACCTCACATGTTTTGGGAGTGCCCTATACCAAGAATATCCGTTGTGAGGTGATTCAAAGGCCCAATTGGATATTGGATGCTAAATTGGGGCCTACCTCCTTACATTTAATTGTTGGTTACATTTCGAACATCTGAAAATTACCAGAGAACATGGGAACACTGTTCCAATATGCAGGTTTGGACACTAAAAAAGTAATCCTGCAAAAATGGAGAGGCTGATCCTCACCAAATATTGTTGCCTGGTTTGTTGATGTGGCTGAGTTTGCAGCTCATGAATAACTGGCATTCCGTAGAAAGTGAATTTCTGACAAATTCAAAGCAATTTGGGCTGGCTTTTTAGAGATCTGTGATTAATGTAGACTTTAACCAGTGTTCCCTGAAAGCTGAGCAGCACTTGGGCAGCTACTAAGGAGAGATTCAATTGCCACCCAGCTGATTATCACAGTGTCCACAGGCAGCAGCATATGTTTCTATTGGTGGTGCACATTCACACATGCCTCAGTGCACAAAGCAAAATTAATTCCACACATCGATGGCAAAAATTAGAGGGTAAACCTTTTTTATTTACTCTGTGTTGCTATGATTCTGCTGTTTTGGAAGATTTGTTGTATTTGGAAAGTACAAATAAAAAATTATAAAGAAAAAAATTCAGAATCAAAAGATACCATCAGTGCAGGAGAAAAATCTCCCTGTGTAATTAAGAAATTTCTAATTTCTGTCTATGAAGGGAATACTAAATCCTCATAAGTTTGTTTTCCATTAATTTTAACACAGAAATTCATATGATTTTTTGTTTTATTAAGAATAAAATGAAAATGCTTTGTTAACATACACCTGATGGACCCTGGTTGTCAGTAGGAGAGATTGAACCTGCGACCATAGGGGCTAAATACCCATGCTTATATAGCATGATCTTAAAGCTAGCTGGCACTTGTTAAAGGCTCTAGAACAGACTTCACTCTCCCTTGTCAGTGGCCTCAGGGTTACATTAACATTCTCAGCCCTCATCGTAAAAAGACTTTCTTGAGTTTAACGTTACATAACAGGAGACTTCTCATTGAGGCTATAAATAATGTGTAATGTGAAGCATGTGCATAAGACTTTGCTGGATTAACTTTAACATAACTTTCTAAAGTAAAAAAATTCCATGCATACATTCTGAAATGCAGTGGAATAGAATGGCGAAACCTATATATTAAATATATGAAATAATTTCTCTTAGAACTTTGGGAATAATAATAAATGTATATTATGTATAGGGTTTCTGATTTTAGGATTTGTCCAGTAAAACAGCACAACTCCCAATACAATATTTCTATATACAGACAGGATCCAAAATCCGTGTGTATTCAGTAAACAGCAGAAAAACACCTGAAATGATTTCCCAATTCATGTTTCCTGGTATACTTTGCTTATATAGGTGATGTCAATGCTCTCTAGCTTGTATCTAAGCACATGGAGTAGTAATGCAGACTATATTGGTGTTATTCTAAAAGCACAATAATCTATCTCATGCATAAATTTGTCTGTGCACTAAAGGTACCAAGAAAGCCCCTATAATGCAAATTTTAAATATCTATACTGCACTAAAAATTGCTAAATAATGAAGATGATCATACATAATTAGGGACTCTGCTTTTCAGGGCTGAAGCTCTACACAGGGTTGTATAAAAGTGGTATGCGTCCACAATTACACTGTATTATTTGAGAAACAGTATAGTGATTGTGTAAAATAGCCCTGACTCCTAAAATGTATGCAAAATGGGCAAAGGTTGCATAAAACAACTTTAACTTGATCATTTCCAAACTTCCAAATGCTTCATCAGTTCCACCTGTAAATCAATTCTTGCAAGATCTAAATTGCAAAGGCTTGTAGCTTTTAGTTAAATGGGGCTGGTAACCTTTATGCTGTTTGTTTCTTTGAAGACAACTTCAGTTTTATGGTTACAGTCCCCACCACAGAACAGCAACTAATAAAAGATAAACCGTATTTTTCTTGGCTTGTATTGTCTCAGGGTATTAATTCCTTCTGCTGTGTGTATGCTACCGATAAGGTTGGTAGGGACACAATAACAACATGTGAGCGTATTTAATTATCTTTCTCATCCCAGATGCTATCATTTAAAACAGAATCAAAACACCAATTAGGTGTTCTTTGTACTCATGCCAATTTATTCCCCTTGCCTCCCATGAAATATGACCAGAAGGACAAATCTTGCCATAAAAGATCTTCACCTGGTTTGTAGAAGGCAAATAAGATCACCCCAGAGTACCAGCACAAAACACTGCATTACTGACTACTTCTTAAGAGCTGACTATTTCACTTTCCAGACCTCCAGCCATGCATGAGTGTCCTCCCTGCAGTCACATGGTTCAGTCATTCATAAGGGCAGCACAAATGTCTCTCCTGCTGTTGTGCCATCTCTTGCTTCATTCCCCTGTGTCCTAGAATCCTAGGGTTGGAAGAGACCTCAGGAGGTCATCGAGTCCAGCCCCCTGCAAAAAGCAGGACTGATCCCAACTAAATCAACCCAGCCAGGGCTTTGTCAAGCCAGGACATAAAAATCTCTAGGGATGGAGATTCCACCCCCTCCCTAGGGAACCCATTCCAATACTTCACCACCCTCCTAGGGAAATAGTTTTTCCTAATATCCAACCTAGACCTCCCCCACTGCAATTTGAGACCATTGCTCCTTGTTCTGCATCCGTCACTACTGTGAACAGCCTCTCTCCAGCCTCTTTGGAACTTTCCTTCAGGAAGTTGAAGGCTGCTATCAAATCCCCCCTCACTCTTCTCTGCCTTGGCACAGTAAGTTGCCTGAGTTTCCTTGGGACCATACAACACAATTATTCTCTGATTTTTTTCAATGCCACCAGGCTCCCCAAAAATGTATCTAGAAGCCATTAAGTGCCCCGAGAGGTAATCACAGGACAGACAGTTAGCACATGAAGATGGGTATGGGCCAGAGGGATGGGACTTTTTTCTACAAATGCCCCTTCCCTGACCCAGACACAGCACATCCTCCATTCCCTCTCCTCCCATGCTTTCTGGAGCCAAGTTTTCCTGAACACCTGGGCTTCTGATCCTAGAAGTCTGGGCGCTCCAGTAGCTGCTCAAGCTACCAGAAACAGAGCTGGAGAGGTGTCAGGTAAATGCTGGGGTGGGAAGCTGATTTTGGGCAGCCAGGCAGCTTGTCTTCAGGAGTAAATTCTCTTTGCTTCTCATTAGAAATTTGCAGCCAGTTGGAAATGGAAGTGATCAGAGGTCTTGTGGACCCCTGTCCACTCCCCTTTGCCTCCCTCTGTCTTTCCCCCGCAGTAACTCCCTTTTGTGCCTCTCCCCTTTCTCTTTCCCAGCGTCCTTATGATGTCTGGGATTTAATGGAGATACATGCACAGAGCTCTCTTTAGTTGAGACCGATTGAATTCATTCCCCCCCCCCCATAAACACATAAAAAGTAAACACTTAACATTTCCTGTCTCAGGAATTTATTTTGTAATGGGGAAAATGTATTTTTCAAACAACGGTTTCTTGCAAACCAAACTTTTTTTACTCCAAATTTACCCCCCAAAATCAACTCCATGCTGACCCCAAATGTGCCAAATTAAACCTGAGAGGATGAAAGATTCACTCGGGTGCAACTTTCTAAAAAGAGACCCTTGCAATGGAAAGCATTAAGCCACCCTAACTATAGGTATCCTCTAACAAACGGATGCATGGGCGGGCTGGTCAAGTCAGCAGAATTCCAGTGGGAAATGAGATGCAACAAGGAGTAATTAACCATTGGAACAAACTACCAAGGGATGTGGAAAATTCTCCATTACTTGGGGGTCCTTAGATCAAGCCTGGATGTCTCTCTTACGATGTACTTTTGTTCAGAAGCAAGTAGTCATACAAGGTGCAGGAATTACTAGGTGACATCTATAGACTGCATTATGTAGGAGAGCTGACGACATGGTCATTAATAGTTCCTTCTGGCCTTAAAAACTAGGAATTCCCTGAGTGAAATTCACACCTGAACAGAGTCCTCCTAAAACCTATCATAGAATCACAGAGCTAGAAGAAGCCTCAGAAGGTCATCGAGTCTAAGGCAGCACCAATCCCAACTAAATCAACCTGGCCAGGGCTTTGTCAAGCCAAAACTTAAAAACCTCTAGGGATGGAGATTCCACCCCCACCCTAGGGAACCCATCCCAGTGCTTCACCATCCTTCTAGTGAAATAGTTTTTCCTAATATCTATCCTAGACCTCCCCCACTGTAACTTGAGACCATTACTCCTTGTTCTGCCATCTGTCACTACTGTGAACAGCCTTTCTCCATCCTCTTTAGAACCTCCCTTCAGGCAGTTGAAGGCTGCTATCAAATCCCCCCTCACTCTTCGCTTCTGCAGACTTAACAAACCCAAATCCTTCAGTCTCTCTTTATAGGTCACATGCTCCAGCCCCCTAATCATTTTGGTTGCCCTCCACTGGACCCTCTCCAAAGCGTCCACATCCTTTCTATAGTGGGGGGCCCAGAACTGGACACAATATTCTAGATGTGGCCTCACCAGAGTCGAATAAAGGGGAATAATCACTTCTCTGGATCTGCTGGCAATGCTCCTCCTAATGCACCCCA